TTCTTCTTTATCATCGATAGACAATCTGTAGCACAACCAATATCACAGCAAAATTAGAGGTGGCACTTTAACTTTATTTTCCTTTCATAAAGTAAAGTAAAGTAGAGCATTTTATTTTAGTTTATTGAGTAAAGTAAAGTTAGTGTACTTTACTTTACTCGGTAAAGTAAAGGAGATATACTTTATCCAAAAAGTAAAGTAAAGTAAAGTAGAGTAAAGTGAAGTATCTCTTACTTTACCGAACAAGTAAAATATAATAAAATAAGATAAAGTACAGTATGTAGTTGATGATTATTGACGCATTAGAATGTGATTAATGTCTGATAACAAGCTAATAAATCAATAATCATCAACTACATACTTTACTTTATCTTATTTTATAATATCTTACCTGTTTGGTAAAGTAGATCTACTTTATCCGAAAAGTAAAGTAAAGTGAAGTATCTCTGACTTTACCGAACAAGTAAGTTGTAATAAAATGAGATAAAGTAAAGTAGGTAGTTGATGGTTATTCCCTCGACTGAAGGGAGGGTGATACGAAAAAGCTTGTTAGTGGGTGTGGGTGTGGGGTGTGGGTGTGGGTGTGGGTGTGAGAGTGGGTGTGGGTGTGGGTGTGTGGGTGTGGGTGTAGGTGCGCATGTAAGTGGGCTAAGAGAATACCCACACCCACCCTTTTTTGTATTCGTTGTTGTCAACAAGTTTTTACGAATAATTACATCAGCTATAATACCTGATATATGTGTACACAGCCATAAGACAATATAAGGTAAAGCTGAAAGAAATCCATTCTAAATTTTAAAACTAAATTAAATGAATTGTTAATGCATTCTTTTACATACTGATTTAATATTAAATTTTAGAACTTCATTCATATATTTAGGAGTTGAAGTTAGAAACGTATAACTACCCCAATTATTACATGTATGAACAATAAATAATGTCCAACAAGCTGGTGATGTGAGAATAGCTCGTCATGGAGCATGAAAATCATTATTGTTACTATTAGATAATTGTTGTTGAATATTTTGAAGAATATATTCTTTTTCTTGTGTACTAATAAATCGATGATTTCGTGGTGAATTTGTATAGAATAAAATCCAAATAATACTCCAAATAAAACCAAAAACAGCTAGTGTATTTTTTTTAGTAGAATAATAGAGTATTTAAATCATACATTAGTATCTACCGCTGAATAAAATATTAATGGCCAACCGCCAGCAATATGCCATGAACACATCAATCAACCAATCGATAAAGCAAATGCATTTCCAGCTTGGCCACCTATCAGTACAATGAGAGTAAGTTTAAATTATGGGCAAAAATAAAAGAAATTATCAGCATTCATAAAACCCATCAATTTTCCACGTTCATGTGTTGGTACCCAATGAGCCATGATTACAGTCATACATGACCCAATGGTTCCATGTGCAAGTCCAACTAATAATCGAAAAATACAAAATAATATCCAATGTACACTTGCAATTTTTGGCATGAACGTAGTAACTACACTTGATACACGCATTGCTCCACCAAATAGAAATCTAGGACCAAATTGACCAGCTAAATATCCAGCTGGTATTTGAGTTATAATATAACCCCAAAAATAAGCACCTAAGATGATACCTTGCCTAGTTTTTGTCAAAATCAAAGAACCTTCCTATAATGAACAGATGTGAATAAATGAATATTTTATGCAATTTGTCTACAATATGATTTGTGTTATTTGTTTGAGGACAACTATCATCTGTGTGTGTAATTAGTGTAGTAGTAGAATTTAATTTATCTTGTTCAATTGCTGAATGATTAACCATGTAGACCAGAGCAATGCCAACATTCACTCTTTGTGAAAAATGTGCTATCATTCCAAGAAATTCAAGAAATGTGACAGCAATACGTATCAAACGCCAAAAAGGTACTATTGAAAAGAGAAATAGTCTATTTTTATTGTATCTAATGGTAAGGATTGAGACTTACCCGATGATTTTGAGTTTATTTCTTCCATTGATTTATTTTTATTAATAAACTTAAACCTACAACTCTGTGATATAAGCACGTCTTATGATATAAAAACAAGAATCAGTGAAACTTTGCACTGGCTGAAAGAGTATAAAGAGCATTGTTTTTTTTTTGTTTTTGGAACATTATCTTTACCATGAGATGATAAAGGAGCAATGATCATGTATTTTTCTTTTATCATACTATTTTATTTACTAAATACTTCTTCTGTCCTTGTTGACCAGAGTTCTCTTTCTTTCATGAATAACAGTTTATGATCGTGCATTGCATATATGGGACGAATTTTGTTGATATATTGCTTGTCTTTTCGTGGTGTGTAATATTATATGGGCGACCTCAACGTGTGGGTTTGACTCTGAATCTTCACTTCATACTGGCCTACACTCGCACCCACACCCTCCAATTTGTGACGTCTGAAACTGGAATCCTGCTCAATATATTCATCAAATAAATAGACAAGAATGGAAAGAATCGTTTGTAATGATTTCTTGAAGATTGACAGATTTGAACATAGTATGGGTATGCTCTATTACATCAACATATACCCAAACCCATACTCGATCTATTCATTCAAGGAATCCATTTTCCTCTATATATAGTTCAATAGCCATGGGACACAAAAACATACTCAATTTCGTTTAAATTTCGATTTTAGAAAAATTCAATCCTATTCACGGCAAATATGCTCATTCGCTCGGTTGCTATTTCCATTCTATCCATCAATCAGTAGTTGATTTGCATACAGATTATTTTTCTTTTTATTAACAAATCTACAATTGAATAATAAACATGCATCGAGAATCTCTAGCGATCATGAATGTGGATAGCAAATGATGTCGCAATCATCCATCAAGTTCATCTTCGATAGTCGATATTTTCTCACGTATTGTATCATCTTTAGAATGAACATTCATAATTTGAAGATTGATCATTGATTTCACAAGATTCAATATAAATATTCGATTTTCGACGTAGATATGTAAAATTTTGCATTGAATACCTCATAGTGATTGACTCAATGTGTGGAGTGTGGGTGCCATTGGTACTATTTAATAACAACCACACCCATACTCTGAATTTTTCCTACGATTATGTTGAATTCTATTCAGATTTCTAGTCTGCTCGGTAACCTCAGTGGTATTATTAAGTTCAGACTTTTCATGCCCTACAAGCTTAAGTCGAGTTCCATAAAATATCACTATTTTTCGAAAATTGTTGTTCATGATTGCAATAATTTTTATAATTTTCTACAAATAGTCTATAGATTTGATTTCCTCAACACTATAAATCTTTGATTAGTTAATTCATCTTTGCGTCTTATAAGTGAATTTTGGATTTAGAATAACAGTTACTGTCAAGTTTTCTTCATAAAAAATGAGTCAGTTAGTTGAACTGATCGGTTCTTGTCGATGAGAAAAAATGATATGAATTCGATCAAGAAGAATGTTTAGCTTTTCACCGAAAATTTTGCCTTAGAACTTTAACTCGCTGTTTCTGATCGGTCAAATAGATACTCTTGATCATGCTGAATCGACCGGTGATGCTCAAGAAAAGAAGTACGAAGTTACAGGCTGCAATTTGTTGAAAAATTAGAAATTCGTAAACTCCAAATTTGGCGCTCACTTTTCTTGATCCATCAATTTCAAGATGGATTCTAAGCTTGAGTGCAATAAGAACGAAGAAATGTCTAAAAGATAATCTCATATTCGTATGAAAACTTAAAAAACTTTGAGTAATGGTTATGAATATGAAGATGTTCGTCTCTTGATCATATGACTGACTCAATGGTCTAGACAATAGGTAAGTGATACATTGTATACATGTTCGAATCTAATCTTTATTCTTACATATTTTCATTTAGACTACCCCCCCCCCCCCCCCCCCCATAATAAAAGCTCCCTTATTTTTAAAAACTTTTTGAAAGTTTTTTGAAAACGTTTTTTAGTATATTCACATGAAAACTAAAAAAAATTACAAAATTTTAAGATGAAAATGCGTCAAATTCATACTTAACCGTATTACAAATCCCCAAAACTCCTTCAAAACCCTCAAAAATTTGTAAAAAACCCTGAAAATCCTCTTAAGGCTTTTGAAAAACTTTGGTACGTAAAACCTTCGAAAAATCATACGACATAATAGAAGCCCCCTCCAAAAAATTTTTATGCTTGATACTTTAGAAGCCCGGGGGGGGGGGGGGGGGGG